GGGGGAGAATTTTAGCTCCTGAATCTGTAGTCGGAAATCACCTTTAGAACTATGAGCCTGGAAAACTTGGATGCTGCAAAGGTAAACAATGTGCAGATTAAGAGAGAGTGGAATTGACAAACTGGTTAAAAAAGGATGATGCATTTCTAATTAGCTCACAGTGCCTTTAGTTGGAAATTAATTAGATGCTGTTATGTAAATGTCATGTTAATTAAGCAAGAATATTAAAGTGTTATAAATCTGCAAAAGGAATGGCTATTTTGTGTATTAAATCTTTGCAGTTAGCATGAAGGATCTGATAGAATATTTGTTTGATTATTGAGCTTCTGGTAATTTTTAGTTGACTGACTCCTTGACAGTCCATTTGTCCTAATTGATGTGTTTTAGTACATGGTGTAACTGCAGCCAATGAGGACAGTAGAACCAAGAACTAAAAATGAAGAGTCATCACAGCTGTTTTAACAAAAGCTTTCCGGGTAGATTGCTGATCTCTATTTCCAAGGTTAAGGAGAAATACTATTTCTCTGTATTTATTCAGCCTTAAATTTTGAGGGCCTAAAATGATTGCCAGCCTGAATGCAGCTGTCCTCCAAACCTGTGTTCTCTGCTTTTCCTGAATCATAGTCTTCAGCCAGTTTATGGGTGCTAGCTCAGGGCTTTTTGGCATGCTCAGTAATTCTACAGTTTAAAAGAAAATTAAAGAATTCTGCTACTTTAGCTTGAAATGTTAGTATTGATGGTTAATCCGATATCTTTATTCAGTCCTGGTTTTGTAAGTTAAAGTGAATTTAATATGTAGATTTGACCCCTGTCTTCAGCTTTACAGGCCTGAAATCAGTACTATTTCCCCAAGAAAATCCACTACCCTGTTGCAAATGCTATTAAGATTTCTAGTTGTTGGGAATAAAGCTGAAGAATTTCATTTCATGGCTCTCATGTGGAATTGCAAATGCAATTCATAGTGCTGCATTATGTATGACACCTTTAATACAAGAATAGAAACATCCCTAGAAGACAAGGTAGGGTATTCAGACTTATGGTCACAAACCACAGCTACCACAGACTCTAAATTGTTGAAATTTAGGAATAAGTCCTCTGAATGTAGTATCAAATGCAAAATGATATACTGAATATCTTCAGATAATGAAGAGACTTGAAAATATTCTGATAATTTGTTTTAGCAAAAGAAAGTAAAAAGCAGTCATGGTGATTGGTTGAAAGTGAGTTCATGTTGGTTAATCTTGTTACCTGGCTCGAGAGAGTCTGTCAGATTAAGGAAGAAACATTTAACTGTGCTTTTTTTTAACGTTTAAAAATCCAAAACTTATTTAAAACTCAGTTGCCACTAATATAGGCTCAAAGATAATGATAGGAATCGTTCTGTGCTTAGAAATACATTTATTTTCCCAACCTGATCCCACTACACACACAACACACACACACACAACACTCACCAATAGAACTCAGCCATCAGGACACTTTTCACACCTGGCTCTTAAGTTATTAGCTCAGTTCACCCTACTGCTTGGGAAGAAGAGGAAGAAGAGCCAAAAATAGAGTTTACAATGATTTGTGGGAACATATGCCAGCCCTTCTCTCAGACATTAACCCAGTAAAAAAAGGCCAACAGCATTTCTTGATGGAGCAGATGCCCTGACTTTGACCCTTGCCATCAACTTTCAAAATTATTTTGTTTGCTTATAGCCACATGGGACTCGTGTTAATATTTTTATTGTAGACAGAAACCTGAAAAGGTTCCTCTTGAGTGACCCATAATTTCCTATATTCATTTTAACAGAGTTGATTTGAAATTAATTGTGTAGGAGTATACATCATATCTCCTGTGGCTACTTATTTTATTTGAGAGTACATTAATTTTGTATGTCACCACAGTTATTGTAGTCTATATGTACAGTGTTCATATGCATCTATTCTGGATTTTTAAAGAGTTCCATAGGTTATAGTCTGCCAGACCAAACTAAATTCCAAACTCTCTGTTTATAATATTGTATCAAAGCTGGGATTTATTATCACTGCTAGTTACTGCTGTCAATTTGTTTTGGCTCAGCTCTGGTTCTATTTGTATTTACTGTAATGTAGTGAATATATTGGATTGGGTTGTTAGTTTAATAAGCTCTCTGGGGAACAGTTTCATAGTGATGCATGTTGAGATATGTATGCTAGGTAGCCTTAAAGTTTTTTGCCTACTTGCCAAACCTGCATTAGGATTTCATTCATTAGGAGTTTCAGAAAGGGTAACTGTCACCCTACTGATGAGGTAAAGTTTGCATTTGTAAACATGGGAGTGTTAATTCATGAGTCCCAGCCAAATTTCTTTGAGGGTTTTGATTTGACCTATTTCTCCCTTCTCATAATTTAATGAATAAACTATTTTATGTTCTTTATAAAAGTATTCTGGTGGTTAAGTCGTTACTGACTCTTGTGTTCTGTGCAGCTCACTGTGTTGTGGGAACTCAGTGATCTTGGCCAGATATTGAGCTGGGAGCTAAAGAAATTGTTATCAGAGACTGGAACTAATTGGGTTGTTATTATTTACATTGTGCTCTGCTGGTCTAAAAATGCACACTAATCTCTTTCTTTGCCCACTCCAACCTATTGCATCAAAATGTCCAGAGTCAAAGTCTGGGAAACCTGTACTTTAAAAATGCTACCATGAACTTTCGGGATTCCAAAAATATTCTAATATTTTTATGTGATAGTCATTATACACACACACACACACACACACACACACATATTCTTCAGGGTATACATTTAAGATTTGTACATTTCAGTATAGATTTAAGATTTGTACATTTCATTTTACTATTTTATGCTGTTATTGTTATACTTCAATTTTTTAAAAAGATTTTAATAACCCTGGCTAGTATAGCTTAGTTAGTTGAGTGTTGTCCCAGGCACCAAAAGGTTGCCAATTGGATTCCTGGTCAAGGCACATGCCCAGAATACAGGCTTGTTTGCTGATATGGGTTGTGAAGGAGGCAGCTGATTAATGTTCCACTTTTACATTGATGTTTCTCTCTTCCCCCCACTCTCTCCCTCCCTTTCTAAAAACCAATAAAAATATTTTTAAAGATTTTAATAAATGTACATTAACTCCTGATTGAGTCAAGCAGCTTGTATTGTTTTTGCTTTTTTATTCTCACATAAGGATATGTTTATCAATTTTTAAGAGAGAGAGAAAGGGGAAGAGGAGAGGAGAAGGAAAGGAGAGAGAGAAACATTGATATGAGAGAGAAATATTGATGGGTTTCCTCCCGTACACACCCAACTAGGGATCAAACCCTCAATTCAGATATGTGTCCTGAACAGGAATTAACCCGCAACTGTTTGGTGTATGGGATGGCGCTCCAACCAACTCAGCCATCCAGCCAGGGCTCCATGTTACTTATTTCCATGTCACAGTTGCCTATTTGAATCTATTTAATTTTAGTATGTTAAGCTTTCTCTGGAGAAGTGACATTTGTAGAAAATGCCCTGCTTTTTTGGTCTTCCATTTTATTCTTGCCTTATTTTGAAATTCTTCAAAAGTATTTCCAAGTGATGCTGGCCAATGGTGAATATCCGTCTTCCTGATTACATTTAGCATTCATTACTTGTTCCATATTCTTTGACACTTGATCATTTTTGATCCAGCTCTTTATTGCTATCATGTATTTTTCTCAGTTATTTACACAAATTTTGTCCTCCTAATAAACTTGTAAGTTCCCTGAGCATGAGACTGACCCATGATGGCACATAATAGGTATTTGCTAAATGCTCTTGGACATTAATAATACACTTACTTAGTTTTTCCTCTCCTTTCCCATTTCCCCTCTGTGTCTTCTTATACCCACTAAGGTTTGCCAAACTGCTGTTACGTCCTTGGTGTAGAAAAGAGTGGACTAACAATGAACTCTTAGGTATGATTTCTAGGTCCCTCAATCCCATGGATCTTCGTGGCATAAACTCTAAGAATAGGTCTCAGAGCTTTTTCATCTTTCTTTTCTTTCGATGAGTAACTTCAGTGATATGAAATCACCTTCTGGGTGATATACAACTCTGTCAATTAACCATGTTTACCTTTACTAGTCATAGTCACCTGGGACCCTTTTCAGGAAATATGTGTAACATTTGCCTGTGTGTTCTATTTCTTTATGATCATCACCACGGCCCTTTCAAGGGCATATCAAGAACCAGTGGTCTTTATGTTTATTTATTAACTTCTAATTTCAGAAGTTAGGGCATGGTTGGTGGGGAGTGTTGAGGTATATATCAATATCAACTTAAGAACTTGTTGGTAGTCCTGATTCTGAACCAACTTAAGAATTTGTTGGTGGTCTTGAAATTATTGCTTTTCAAGCCTTCACCCACTGACTGACTAAATCTTTTGCATACTCTTGAATGATGCCTATCCATTAGATTTCTGGACCTTCAAAGATTCCATGAATGCCCTCTTTATATCATATTCTTATAATTAAACTAGACATTTCTCTCTTGGTTCCAATGCTCTCTTTATATATTAAAATGATCTATATTTCTTTTGACAAGCAGTTTGTTGTTCCTTAGGCAGCTCCCCCCCCCACCCCCAGAAAAAAATAAGGCTAGTTTTGCAATGAATTCAAAGGTAGGGAAACAACTGAGATCAGTCTAAGAGGGTGTACTCCTGCTGTTGCTTTGTAGAAAAGCTCATCTCCCCAAACTTGTGGGTAATTTCTTCTCGTTGGATTGGAATTCTAGTTAAAATTTTATCCTTTAACTTTTTAACATTATGTGATATTCAGTTAGTTTTTATGAAAAGCATGTTCTAATGTAGAAAAAATATAGATCTAAATTGCTGAACTAAGTTCATCTACCACTATCACCACCTTCTCCATCTTTTCTATTATGCATTATTGCAGGTTGATCCCTGCCTTTTTAGGTTTCTTTTTATCCAAGATAGCAGCTATGGGCATGTAGCGGGTATGTCCTGACTGATGTGCCTGCCTTTCTATTTCTAGGTGGGCCATGCACAGACACAGCTCATGTCTCGTTAATCACACCAACCAAAAGATCCTGTGGTACAGGTACGTACATCATTCTTTTCTTTTTTAAATCCTCACCCGAGGATTTTTTTAATTGATTTTTAGAGAGTAGACGAGAGAGGGAAAGACAGAAACATTGGTGTGAGAGAAACACATCGATTGGTTGCGGGGCCCGGGCCAAAGAGGAGCCTGCAACCGAGGTGCCCTTGCCCAGAATCTAACCCAGGACCCTTTTGTCCACAGGCTGACACTGTGCCAAAGCAGCTAGGGCCGTACACCATTCTTATCCGGCTTCATTCTTACCTGAATTCTTCACAGAAATTAGCTACTGGTTGTAATGTGTCCTTGCCAGGATGCTCTCTAATTTCTTCCATCAATTTTGAAGTGATAGAGTTTGTGCTTAATATTGGGAGTGGAGTGTGAGCAGAGATCAAAGTGGTGCTCTTGGAGGTCAGATTGACTGAGTTAAACTGTCACCTAGAACCAAGAAGATAGACAGTTTCCTAATGTCTGAAGAATATTATAACATGAAACATATATTGCCCATTTTCTAGCATGTGGCTAATAAAGTCTTGGACTTATTAAAAAAGGTATTTAAAAAATGGAGACTGGAAGGTGAAAGAAGTTGTAGTGCAGCTAATCAGTGTTTTAACTTGACTATTAGAATATCCTAATAGTTTTGGAAAATTACTTTCTCTCTCATCTTCAGTGCATGGGGTACACTGAAATTACTCTTTTTAGATATATAAAGTCTCCCAAAAAATCTTTGTGCATCTGTGACATTTTTGTTAAATATGAAGTCATGAATCTTGTAGCTCTCTAAAAAGCAGTCATAATGGCCATTGCTCCCTTAGCCTATAGCTCAATTTATTTTAAACAGTAAATTTGCCTTTTCCAATAATTCTGCCTGCTATTCAAAATATCTCAAGGATTATATTTGGAAGAGTCAAAATAATTATATTGTTTTTCTAAAGGTCACAGTCAGAGTATTTTTCATAATTTAAAAAGTCCTTTTAACTTTTCAACAATAATAGCACAAACCATTCCTATGTTCAAACTCATTCTGAAACCTCAGCCCCTTCAAATGCTCATAATTTTTATGTTAAACTAACTCAAACAGGCCTGACCTTGCATAGTTCCTGAGTAGCATCCAGGCATTGAACTCTGGGAATGTAATTTCACTCTTCTGTTCCACATGACCAGTTTTGAGGCAGGGCTGTGTGAGAAGGTCCTGGGATGCTCGCATCCCTCCTGCCCTTAGTACCCAAGCTCCACTGAGTAGTTACAATGGAGATGGAAGAGAACTGTGCCCTGGAGAGAGACAGACCATCCTGATTAGCCAGTGGGAAGTCAGAGCCAGCTTCCTACCCACTCCAGCCAGAAGCATGGGAACATTCAGAGTCCTTTGATTTCAGGTCCAGCACTTTACATGCACAGTGTGCTTTAGTCTTTCTTCTATCCTTACATTCTTGGCCCTCAGTGCAGGGTTTCCTGTTAGCACTACCAATGTGTGTAGGTAGCAGTCAAGGAGTGAACCTCAAGCACATTGGGTAATCCTGAGAGACAGAGAAAAAGAGACTCACGTGCTCAGATTAGGCACCAAAACTAGTAGGAATCCTTCTCTGAATATTGTGTACTTGTGTCCTTCATCTTTTAGGCAGGTGTTTTCTTCTCCCATACTATTTTGTGTATCTGAAAATAATAATAGCATTTATTTCATGCTAACTGTATTACCAGGCACCATTCAATATGCTTTACATAGATGACCAATTAATCTGCAGAACAATTCTGCAAGAGAGTTATTCCTCTTTTATAGACGGCAAAATAGATACTCAGAAAATTAAGTACATTTGTTGGAGTAATATTGTAGTAAGAAAGAGAAACAGAACTTAAACACAGATCTTTCAGATACTAAAGCTTGTGTTGTTTTGCACTACATCATGTTACTGCTTATCACATTTAAACTAATAAAAGGGTAACATGCTAATTAGATGGGATAGACCAACGTCCTTCTGGACAAAGCCAGGGTGGTATACTAATAAAAGGGTAATATGCTAATTAGATAGGATAGACCAACATCCTTCTGGACAAAGCCAGGGTGGTGGGGCTGAGGCAGAGGCGGTTAGGGGTGATCAAGCCAGAAGGGGAGAGTGGTTAAGAATGATCAGGCCGGTGGGGCAGAGTGGTTAGGGGTGATCAGTCAGGTGAGTGGTTAGGAGCCAGTGGTCCCAGATTGCAAGAGGGATCAGGCCTAAACTGGCAGTCAGACATCCCTTGAGGAGTCCTGGATTGGAGAGGGTGCAGGCCAGGCTGAGGGGGGGGACCCCCCCACCCAGTGCACAAATTTTGTATTATAATCATGTTCCTAGCCAGATGGTGGAAAAGCATATCATTGAATAAGATAGGGAGAATGGGAGACACATATTTAGAAATATAGCATGTAATGAAGTAGTGTTTAAAATGTGAGTTCTAAAAGCAGATCCTAGCTTTATGTATTACAAAATGTGATTTTAGGTAAATAAGTTGATATCTCAAAATTTGTATTTCATCTGTAAAATTGGATGATAAATCTATCGCATAGGTTTGGTGTAAGAAATAATGTGCGTAAAGCTCACATACTAGATCTCTAAAAGTAATTGCTGTTTTAGTGTAATTGTATCATTAAAGAGTATGTGTATACAGCGGTCAACCATTAAATGCTGGGGATAACACATCAGGAGGTAATTTAGGTAGAAAGAAGACTAGAAGTGCAGAATTCATTGCTGTACCTAGTTTCATTAATTGATTTTATGTTGATTACATTTTTTGTTGCATTTTAGTATTACAGTAGGAACTCGTAATATTTCTAGGTCTCTGTAAAGTGAAATGATAAGGATTGAGCTCTCAGTCACACATTTCCAGGCCTTATTTTAGGTGACTACATAGCTCTTAACTAGAAAATGATTGAGAATTTCCGACTTGGAAGGAAATTAATGCAATGTCCAGGTCATCATCTAAAAAGCCCGGAAGAAAGTTGAGATCGTTCAGCCTGCATATTAAAGGTTATCAAGTTCAGCCTGGTGCACTTTCCAAGAAACTTCTTTGTGCCCCCTCAGACTCACTGAACTAACTTACTATGGCCCTGATGTCCGACCATGGGTCAGTGGTTGAGCGTTGACTTATGGACCAGGAGGTCATGGTTTGATTCCCAGACAGGGTACGTGCTCTGGTTGCAGGCTTGATCCCCAGTGTGGGGTGTGCAGGAGGCAGCCAACCAATGATTCTCTCTCAACATTGATGTTTTTATCTCTCTCCCTCTCTAAAATCAATCCTATCTAATAAAAGGGTAATATGCAAATTAACTGTCACTCCATCACAAAAGATGGCAGTGCCCATAGCCACAAGATGGCGGCGCCCAGTCCTCTCAGCCCCGCTGAAGTCCCCCAGTCCCGGGGGTTGGAGGGTGGCTGCTGAGATCAGGCAGCATGAGTGGCCTGGCAGAATGCTTGCTTCGTCACCGCGGCCATGGATGGGCCTCTGGCCATGCCGGGACGCGGAACGCTTGCGTAAGAAGAGAAGGAACTTGCAAGCTGAGCAGAGTCGAGTGGCTCCCGACTCCTGGGCAAGGTCAAGTCTGGGCGGCAAGATGGTGGAGGGGTGGAGGATGGTGTGACAGGAGGAGCTGGTGGTGGAGGCACAGGGGTGGAAAGGTGGTCGAGAAAGAGGAACGAAGCCCTTTATCGGAGTTCTGAGAACAGACAGGGAAGTCGTTTGCATTTCCCAGCCACAAATGGTCCTCTGGCCAGGCTGGATGGGGCGTGGATGGGCCTCTGGGCCGCAGAGAGCCTCTGGGCAGCGGGCGCGGAGTGGCCAGGCCCCGCAGAGAGCTACTGGTGCACAGATTCATGTGAAGGGCTACTATTAAAAATATATTTAAATAACAACAAAAACTATGGTCCTGACACCAGAGGACAGAGTTTCCTGATTGTCAGAGGTAAATTGAATGATTTGCTTTGAGAACTGCAGGTTGACAGTCTTTGTCTCCATCTTTCTGTCTGTCCTTGAATCAGCAGACTGCCCATGATGGGGATTCTGAGCATTTTCCTTATGAGTCATCATCAATTGTAGTGTTACATTGCTGGAGTGTTCTTGTATTCCTTATGTCTAGGTTCTTTAAGAGAGAGCTCATACTTCTAGCATGCTCTGTGGTGCTTCTGCCATAAAAGGGCACAGTCACGGTAGCTCTCCCAAAGAGCTCCTAGAGCACAGGGCTTCAGGCATAGATGATCTATAAATAATTACCTGACAGTAGTATCACTTCTTCCTTGGAGAGAGACCCTGTGAATTAGATCCTACTGACCCGCTCCAAGCCAATCGGTTCAAATACAAGGTTGGACCTAAAGCAGCCTCCAGCATAGTAATGAGGTGTGTTAGGAAAAAGATACTTAGGCTAAAATATAGTGGTTCTTTAGGTCAACAGTCCCTGAAGAAAGCATATAATGTATAATCTGTGAGGTATGGGGAGAAAATAGTAAAAGTTCTTTATCCCAGCCTTTTAAAATTTCTGTTTTGCAGATTTATTTTATAATTATATAGCAGTCCATACAGTTTAAAACCAGCAAATACATAGGATGCATATTAAAGGTACACAGCCAAATATCTTAGAGAATGTACACACACACACACACACACACACACACACACACACATATACACAAAAGTTATTGACCTTTTCAGTGAACAGGTCATTTTCTTTTTAGTATTTTGAAAATTAGATCTAAAGATTAGCATTAGGCCCATAATTATAAGTCTGAGTGGTTGATAAATAATGTCTCTATGTTTCAGGGGACTAATGTTGATCTGAGGATACTTAATTTAAACAGGTGGAAAAAAGTGTAGAGTGGTTTGTCTACAACCATCAAAGTGAGAAGGGGAACTCTTTTTTTTTTTTACTTTATTTTTACTGTTGACACTATACATATCCCCATTCTCCCTCCCTCCCCTCCCACACACACCCTGTCCACGTGCATCCAGCCCCATTCCCCCTTTGGCCATCATCATAG